TTTAGTAAGGTATATATTCCCTATTAGAATGTAAGCTCCATGAGAGTATATCTTTTCAATGAAGCCAGTAACAAGGACCCCACATGGCTGTTTTAAAAAAGGTAGGAACATTATTTTCTCTCGTACAAACTGCCTGCAGTAGGTGGTTTCAGCTTGGGATGGCATTCCACAGCATCAGATTCGGGTGTGCTGCTCTGCTAAGCATGGCTTCCATTCCCATGGTCCCAGAGAGCCAAGGATATGGGACAAGCTGGCAGGCAGGAGAGTGGGGAAGATGGACAAGCAGCCCTCTCCTTAAAGATGCTCCTTAAAATTTGCATATACTTCTTCTATCTCCATCCTATTGGCCAGGAATTAGCCATGTGGCCACACCTAGGTGCAAGGGAGGTTGGGAAATTTAGTTTTTATTCTGGGTAGACATGTGCCCAGTTAAAAATTATTCTAATGCCAAGGAATAGGAGAAAGGATATTGGGAGACAATTATATACTGCTGTATTCCCAACTCCCAGCACACTGTGTAGCACATTCTACATATATTAGTTGAATGAAGAAATGGGCTGGACACTTGTGTATATTACTGCTGTAACTAAGTCCTACAAACTGAGCGACTTAAACAACAGAAATAGATTTTTTTTCACTGTTCTAGAATCTAGAAGTCCAAGATCAAGGTGCCAGCCATGTGGTTCCTTCTGTCCCACTCCTCTCATAGCTCCCAGTGGTTTGCTGGCAATCTTCCGAGAGATCTCTGCCTTCATCTTCACAGCGTGTTTTCCCTGTGTATGTGTCTCCGAGTCCAAAATTCCCCTTTATATAAAGAACACCATTCATTATTGGCCTAGAGCCTGTCCTAATGACCTCATCTTCACTAATCACATCTGGAATGACCCTATTTCCAAATAAGGTCACATTCTGAGCTACTGGGAATTCAAAAGTCATAGGTCTTGTGAACTTGGTGGGGAGGATGGGGGAGGGGGGAAATACTAGTATTCAACAGAACAAAGAGCCACAGGATTTATGAATTTTGGAAGGACATAATTCAACAGATACAAACTTGTAATTCATCTACTCTCACACAGTCTTTCAGAGGCACCTGGTACCTTGTCCTTCCTGAGCAGTGTTGTGTGGATGAACCAGTTCCATTCTCTCAGCCCTGAAGGAGTGTGCCTGGTGGGGGGATGGCAGGGCTTACCAAAGGCCTATAATGGTAATAGCGTCATTGGCCTTAAGCGGTTGTAACCAAACGAGTCAAGCTTCTTCATGGTATGATGGGAACCCAGGAGCACTGCAGAAAGACTCCTTTTTGGTGAGTGGAAAGCTCCTGACCTTGTAATACCCCCTGGCCTCCGAGATGACACGTGGCTAGCACAGGCCGGTTCCACCAGGGCCTGGCGTAGAATCCTGGAGCCAGGCAGCTCGCTCCGTCCTCACTCAGCACCTTGCCAGCTCCTCACACCTTATTTCTTCTTTTGGGGTGTTTTTATTTGGTTTTGCCTGTGTCCCTCACTGGACTATGAACTCTGAGCTTGAAGATAGTATTTTATTCATCTGTGTAATCCCTACAGCTCCTCAAGTAGAAACTCAATTAAATAGGACTTTTTAAAGGGAAGAGAAAGATATTATCATCTTGTCAGGAGGGTTGAGATATAATCATGCCCCAAAGCAGAAGAACAGCTACTATAAAAGGGCTCCTGTAGTTTCTTTTGGCAGCAGACTCGAGGAAGGTGACGGTTCTGTTCTCCCTTGGCACCAAATGTCAGTGGTCTCTGAAAGGTTTCGTTTTGGGAAACCCAGAGTTGCCAAAGCATGGCCGTGACAATAGCAAGGTTTAAGAAGTGACCTATTCGATTTATGCAAGAGGTGCCGCCCTTCACCCATGCATCCACCTTATGCGGACCAAAGCTCTGGGTCACACTCAGCGATCCCCAGTAAATGAGGGAGCAGAGTCCCCAACCTCAAGGAAGAGTAGGGCACAATTCGAAGTCCTTGTTTTAAACCCCTTCCATTGAACGAGGTCCACTCTTTGACGTGCATTCAGAGCCCTCCTGGCCAGTGTCCCCTTCCCTGACTCATGACTGCTGTCCACTCACGTGTCCTCCCGGGGGCAGAAGCCAGAACTCTGCTGGAAACGTTTCCCAACCATCGCAGGACTCTGACCTGATTATTACTTTTCATTTAGAACAGTATTCCTGTGGCTTCTGGAATATGAGCTTGGGCCCGTGTCCACTTCCCTAATGTTCCCACTTAGAAGATTTCATCTGACACATGTGGGGCAAATAGCATCCAGTCATTTCTTTTTGCCCTGAGTCTTGGTCTTTTTTAATTCAGGTGGCCAAGCCCATGCAGGGAGGCTGCTGGATGGTGCAGGCAGACACCAGTGCTTCGCAAGCTAGGCACCTGGACTCCCAAGGAGTTCATGACTTGGCAGCTTAGAAATGAAAGCACATTAAGGGGGGTGGGCATATAGGTGGTGGCATTTCTTGGCCATCCTGCAGAAGCTGGGCTGTCGTAGGCATGCAGCCAGTGGTAGCACATTCAGCAGCAGCTTTTGCCCAGCTACCACTCTGGGCTTGAGAGTACTGTGCTTATTAGGGCCAAACGAAGGGGACGTTGCACAGACTGTCCCTGTCCAGATCCCCTCGGCTTTCTATGCCTTTGTTTGTGGGGCGGCTCAGACTTCTCCAGTGGGAGTGCAGAGGTCACTCCGCACAGAGAACATCTCCATCCCACATATGCATGTGTTTGAAAACATTACTGTTTTTATCTCTCTGCCATGAGTTGTAAAATTATGAGGTGCATCCATCCCTTGATTATCAGACTTGTGCTTGGCTGTTAATAACAGACTCCATTCATGGTGCAGTAATTGAGTTTGGAGCCCTAATTACACTGCTGTGCCCCCCGCAGGAGTGAACGGGGAAGCCCCGCTCCTGAATCCTGCCCTCGGAGGGCCTGCTTGTCCTGCCAAATCCCTTGGCTAATTTGTGGCCCAGCCTTACCTGTGATAAGGGATACAGTCTTCTGTTCTGATCATTTTATCTTTTTTCCCTACCTCCTTTTCTCTTTTATTCCTTTTCATATTCATTTACCAGGTGTACTGGTTAATAATGCGGATTTTTTTTCAATAGATGGAGTTACACAAATGTTGATATATATGTGATTTGATATGTATGCTACTTTGTTGTATTGACAACAAGCTTCAAAACTTCATGTCAAATTTTCTGAAGGTGTTAACATCATAGATATACTTACGCTTAAAAATGTAGAATTTCATGCCAAAAAAAAGAGCATTTGCGGGAAGTTTTAATTCATTACTTTATTTTGAAAAAAAGTGCTGCTGAAAGTTATCATATACTTTGGAAGCTTATGGTGAACATGCTCCATCTCAAGAGACTTGTGAACGCTGGTTTAAATGCTTTAAAAGTGATGATTTCGATGTGAAAGACAAAAAACATCCAGGTCAACCAGAAAAGTTTAAAGACCAACAATTACAAGCATTATTGGATGAAGATGTGTGTCAAACTCAAAAACAACTTGCAGAAAGATTAAACGTTGCTCATCAAACAATTTCTGATGGTGTACAAGCAATGGGAAAGATTTTAAAGGAATGCCCTCCAATTTGAACCATGCTTTGATTGTAAAACCACCAGAACGGGCCAGAAGACACAGCAAAGTAATTTTGTTTCATGATGACGCACCATCACACACTTCAAAACCAGTTAAAGACACATTAAAAGATCTTGCCTGGGAAGTATTAACCCACCTGCTGTATTCACCAGACCTTGCTCCTTCAGATTATCACTTGTTCCAATCGATGGCACACTCACTTTCTGAGCAGCACTTCAAAATGTTTGAAGAAATGGAAAACTGGGTCTCTGAAGGTCTGCCTCAAAACAAGAAAAGTTCTATTGGGACGGTATCCACAAATTACCTGAAAGATGGGGGAAATGTGTAGTTAGCGATGGACATTACTTTGAATAAAGCACTTTTGATGTTTCTCTTGAAATTATCGTGTTTTCTTTGATTACAAAATCCACATTTTTAACTGGTACTGGATTTCTGCAGCAGTCTTGTAACCAGTCTCTCTCTTCTTTCTCTCCAGTTGGATAGGTATATATATATTTTAAGTTATTTCATAGGTTGTGAAATTGTGTTCCAGAAAAGGCAATCACATTTACCAGAATTATGTATGAGTGTCCATGCTGGTGTCCTTCCATTCTCTCTCTCTCCCTCCCTCCCTCTCTCTCTCTCTCTCTCTCTCTCTCTCTCTTTCTCTCTCTTCCTCTCTCCCCTTCTTTTTTCACCTCATTTTTTAAATGGTTACTTTATAGAAGAAAGGAAACAGGGTGAGGGGATGGAGAGCTAGCCCCTTCTTTCTTTTTACCTTTGTTAATTTTCTAGACCCCCTCCCCAAAGAATCTTTTTGTTTTAATGAAAACTTATTTGGTTATTAATAAAGTTAAACCCTCCCACTCATCTCCTCATTGAACAATTGTATTTCCTCTTTGTGAATTTGCCTTTTGCTAATTTTTCTCTTGGGTTGTTTGTCTTTAAAATTGTGTCCATCCACTTATGTCAATCTCATGGCATTGCACTTATGTCATTAAGTTGTTGTGAATACTTGTTTGTACTTTCATATTACAGTTATATGAAAGAATAAGCGTGTTTTATACAGCTAACAGCTCAGAGTGTAAGCCACTATTAACAGAGGGACAAGTATGGAGTGGGGCATGCCAGTGTGGGGAGGGGCTCAGGAGACTTTTACAGTCACTTAACCTTTCGTCTTCACAGTCATCCCACAGGCAGGTAAAGTAGATAAAGCAGGTATTTTTCCCATTTCACAATGACGTGTGCCAGGGCACACATGAATAAGATCTTCCAAGCCCCAATCCAGTTTTTCTACCATGTCACACTGATTCATCTGTTTATTTATAGAAGGCAAATAAAGCATTAACATATATCAAATATTAGTAATTATGAAACACTTTTTAAAAATTTTTATATAGCATGAAGGCCCAGGACCAGGTCATTATGACTTGAAAATACCTTCAGCAAGTTCCGTTACTTCTTGTTTTCGATCTAAAGTACCTCGATTCCTGCCTGCTTGTTCGGTAAGTACTCTAAACGATAGATTGTGGTTGTAAGTTTTATGGCCATGTGCTGGAGGCGGGGAGGTTGTGAAGGTGGGATGGGGGTATTATATAACAATTCGTGTGTGTGTGTGTGTGTGTGCGCGTGTGTGTGTGTGTGTGTGTGTGTGTGTGTGTAATTGCTTGTCAAGGCAGCAGAGTCTAGAGCTCAAATTCCTGGCAAGCCCTGTGCCAGGTTCAGGCCCAGGTGGCTCCTGAAGACTGCAGCTGCATTGTGGGTCCAGCTGAGAGGAGCCAGCACAGTGATTAGCCATCCATGCTATGACCTGGGTGCTCTGTGGGGAAATGCCTTTAATGAATTGAGCAGGCAGTGGACAAGTGGCTGCCCCCTCCATCCAGAACTGTCTTTCTTTGTGTGTGTGGCTTCTAAGAGCAAAAAAGAAGAGCAGAAACATTACTATTGAACCCAAGGAGATCATGAGGACATGAGCAATCATCCTGCCCTTAAGGACTCAGGAGACAGGGAAGAGGCGCAAGTCCACTTAGACATATAAAGCAGATAGATTCTGGGAGTGTGTGAGAGCCTCAAAGACCCAGGGAAGACCAAGGAAGATCTCAAAAGCATACCATGGAGTTTATGAACAGTGGTTGTTGTTTTTTAATGCTAAAAGACAGTTTTGATTTTCATGGCTTTGGTGTTTCCAGCCTGCACACCAGTCTGAAAGTCTCTCAAACTCGCTGGTATATAACCAGATTTGAGGTAGTTGGGAGACAGGAATTTAAATCCCGCCTGTAAGGAAAGGGACCCACCCTGGGGGAAGGAGGGCAGGGGAAGCTGGGCAGTGGCTGGGAGAGGGTGGCCCAGGTGCTTGCCTTCAGGATCTGGTTCCAGAGTTGCAAGCTGTGCTGTGGGGTAATGCGGTCTTTACCTGGAGGTATGAATACTGGGGAGTCCCTGCCAATAAAATTAAAAACAGACGGACAACAGGATGTCGGTGGATTCCTTACTCAGATCCTCGTACCCCAACGGCATCGCCATGATCCGGACGCAGAATTTTGTTGGCGCTCACAGGGCTGAGCATCCCCAGGAAGTTGGAGCCATGCTGACCAAACCCCCAGGAAATCCTGGAGAAGCCAGAAGGGGGTTCCTGGTGTTGGGGCTGCTACTCAGTGGAGTGTCTCCCATTATAGGAAGCTCTTCATGGAAGCCAAGGACAACCAGGAGCTTGCTGGTGACAGTGAAATCAGGGCTGGGGGGTGGAGCCAGATGTTCTCAAGGTTTCAGAACCGTAATCGGCAGCCTCCTGAGGGGAGGTCTTGGTGGGTGGGGGGTG